TTCAAGATGAGATGTCTGAGTTTGCTGTGATGAAAATGGGATTTTAAAATTCTTAATACATATATTATTCAATAAGCTTAGACCTAAAGTAAGTTTATGCTTGGAGTATGTATTGGTCCCTTTTCCTCTTTTCTCACCCCAATCTTGACAGTTGTATGTAGTACAAATGGAGACTTGCATCTGTTACAGAAAAAAGATTACATAGTTTACAAATGCTCAGAAACAGACTAATATAATTAACTCTTTTAAATTCCATTGTCTAATAATAGCCAGAAAGTGTTTACTGGTTACGTTTGAAAGCAAGGGTAGTTTAGTCTTTGATTTAGGGTCCTATAGAAAAATAGCAAATATCACTGTTAATTTATATTACTTCAGAAAATTTGTTATTAGCCAGATGTCTACTCTGATAAGAGTGTTTTAAACAGGCAAGAGAATACAATGTCCCAAGCCAATTTGATAGTACTACATTAAACATGCTAACTTTGAATAGGGAACTACATGTTACTGGTATCTAAAAGCATTTTAAAATGTATGTTTTGGGTGACATTTATATAAATGGGCAATTGACCTGACCTAACTATTTTCCTAAATACAGATTCAGAATGACTGATGATAATGAAATTGTGATGAATAGTTTACTAGTAGAAGAGAATAAACTTTAAAGGTATAGTTTTCTATTACCCTGTTTGGGGAAATTAATTTGGTTCGTTTAATTTTGCTCCGTTTTGCGTAAACAGGAAAGTGGTCTTTACTGGATTAGTAATTTACATTTTTTATGGAAGATTTATCCAGATATCAACATCTTTGCCACTTGATTTGTAGTGATGTTTCTTAGATTTTGGAAGAGAATAATTCTGGAAAAAATAATAATGTATCCTTGTGGGTTAGATCCATTTCTTCAGTGTGTTAAGCTCATAAACTTGTATTAATGCAGTAAGAATACATTATACAAGGCTTGTCCAGAAGGTATCCAGCCATGTAATATGAAAAACAGACATTCATTGAAGAAGATACAAGATACAAGAAACATTGTACGTAAGACAATGACACCTCAGTCCCCTTCGAAGTAGGCACCTTGGGACCTCACACACTTCTAATCATCATCAGCTGCCTCATTGTATTTTCTTGAATCTCATCAATGGTCTGAAGTCTCTTCTCTTTCAAAGGTGATTTTAGTTTTGTGAAAAACCAGAAGTCATAGAGTACTAAATCTGGGCTGTAGTGGTGCTAAATCACCTGGGCTATTTGATGTTTGGCTAAAAATTTCTGCAACAGGTAGGTTGCATGAATCGGTACATTTTAGTGATGAAGCTGCCAATCAGCAGTTGCCCATATCTGTGGCCCTCTGAATCATCCCTAAAGTTTCCACAAAGGAATGTTCGAGCTTAATGCAAAATTTGGTACTCTACTCTCTGCGAGTGTTGCTCTACTCACTCATTCATTTTGAATGAGGCAGCCACACAGTGCACATGCTCACTCAATGGTATCTACTCAATGGTAGATACCATTGCACCAACTAGTACAATGAAGTTGCATTTTGAACACAGGTGCATTCCAGTCCACTCTCCTTGGCTGCCAGGTTACACTGATATCATGCACACTGTTCTTGTTATGTTAATAATGGCTGAACTTTTCCCTGACAGATCTCATATATATAACTATATATGCTGCTTTTACAATTTAAATAAAATATTAATAAAAGAATTTTAATAACATCTTTGTATTAAATAAACTTTTTAAAAACTCAAGATTTATGGCATATGACAAGTGCTCTTTTGCATTACAGAATACATCTGTTGTCCTACAATTTCTTTCCAGTATTGCTTCAAACAAACAGGCAGTGTGGTCAGAATTCACTTGCTTTTTGAATTCCAAGTAATCTCTTTTGTTATAGTACTACTGTAAACATAAATTATAAATTATACACGTATGACTGGATTTCATTTATAAAAGAAAGACGCATTAAAAATTAATAATAATGGCATGTTAAAATAAATTATTTAACAGAATAAATTCTGTTCTTCAATAGCAGGTCTATCTGGCCTTTTGTGAGCTGGGCTTTATTGTGCTTAGTGCAATAAGTCATTCTTCTAGTATTTGTTTTTCTAATCTGTCCTTGTCTTAACCAGTGGTTTTGCATTGCATCCAAGTGACACTGAATAGTCAGGGGTTATAGAATACTATGAAATGGGACATGTGTGCCCAGGCATGTAATCTGTACCAGGTGTGATGTAACATACGTGTAATAGACAACACCTTCATCTTTAAGCCAGAGTGAATTGTTTTTTACATCCACACAGGGAACTCAGGGAAAGAATCATGAAAACTTCTAAGGTAGTTAGTTAATGGGAAAGAGAGGAAATACAAAAAGCTTTGAGAAAGCAGCACATGGCCAAAAGCAACAGCAGGTGTGGCCATATGGCAATCAAATTAGAAAAGGGACCCTTGCCACACTGCCTTTAAGGAGACAGTCAAGTCCAACCAGTTCTCAGGGAAGGATGATTTACTTGGTACATTTTAAGTGTTTCATATTGCCTCTTTCAGTGCTCAAATCTGAAGGGAATTTAAATCTACTGCAGCACGCAGAAGTTGAAGAATTTTCTTAAAGAATAAAATTAGTAACTTCTAAATGATTTCACGTCCACAGTTAGAGATAATTATGCCAAAACACGTTAATTTCCAAATAAAGCATTTGCTAAGCTGAGATTGTTTTTAAAAGATGTAAAACATTATAATGTTAAAATTTAGTTTATTAAAATTTACATTATTTTATTTTAACAAAATATTTGATAAGGTGATTTATAATTTGAAAATCCCTACTGAGGCAAAGATACCCTGTAATAATGTAATTAAAATTATTTCTCAAGAAGTCCATAAGCTGCAGCATTTTCAGAAGTTCTTGAAGCACTTTCTTTTAAAAAGAATTTGCTGCAAGTCTATTTTAATTCTCAGACTGAGTTTCAAAAACTTGTTTGACCTACAAAAGAACAGGGGCTGTACTATTAACTTTCATTCTTAAACGAAATATTAGTATGGTACCATGTTGTAATTTCAGCCACATTCTTGAGGTCTACATGTGTGTGCATGTTCTAATCTGGGAAAACGTCCATGCTTTATGCTCTGTCCTTTACTCTTCCTGTCTTTGAGGGAAAATATGGTCTTTGTTGAGAACTTAGACCCATGAATATTCCCATTGCTCTGATCTCCCTTCTGACCATACACATCTCTATTACGGTGACAAACTATCCCGAGGTCAGAATAAAGACAGTGTTCATATTTCAACCTCAACATCTCCAGTTTGTTTCTGCTTATTGGCAGCACCACACTCTTACTTTCCGTGACCAAGTTTTTTAATAACAGCACAAAAAAAAATAACCAATTACTTAACCTAATGGCTAATAGTTTAAGTATTAATTGTTTCTCAAGTAGTGTTTTTTTTCAAATAGGATTCTTATGTCTATTTTGAATAAAGAGAAGTCATCTGTTACTATGTTTGACTTAGATGGCATCCACATTTTGTTGACTTCAGATAATTTTTTTTTCCGGTAATATGGGAATTTTTTGCTTAAAAACCTGGCTTTGAACCTTTTATGATTTTAAAAGTCACAAAAAAGTCTTAAAAATTATAAATATCATTGCTTCTATCAATCATATGTTAAAACTATTAGTATTTTGGCACACTGCTCTCAGGAATTATTAGAATGAAACATGGCTGAAGCCCTTTTGGTCCACTTCTAATCTTTCCTACTTCCACGTGAGAGGCAACTACTAAATGAGTTTGGTTATTTTCCCCCTTTCAATAAAAAGATATATCACACACATGTATCTGTCAAAAATGTATTACCTTAAGTATGTATATATACAGTTAAAAGGTATTTGGTATACATTATTTATGTTACTTTTTCACTTAAATTTGTTACAGTGATCAATCCTACTGACATAAAGATCTACTTCCTCCCTTTTAAGTGTTGTGTAACATTACATCATATGAAGTGGAAACATTTTATTTACCTATTTCTCTGTTGATGGACATTTATGAATTCCTTTCTTCATAGTTTTTTTCCTATTCCATTATTCCTAAGATTTAAATAACATTTTTATTTCAAAAGCAGTATATTTACATACTTCAGATATAAGGTTTAGACCACTTAGCAAGTCACCCTTGAATAGTTTCATCTGGAGATGTTTTATTTTTAAATTATGCCTCCAATATAGCAAAATGGCAAATAATTCAAGATATGATTTTTAACATCAAATGTAATTTGTTCAAAATTTACATTAATCTTTCTCCTAACTAGTCACTTCCATTTTGTCTTCCTGTCATCCCAAAGAATGAAAATGTAATTTCCCAGAGGCTTTAAGAATTGGGGAGTATTAAATGTAGCTGAAATTAAGTGATTAATAATTTACTTTGGGTCATGAATCAACTTCATGGGATGCTAAGGATCATTTGCGACCCCAGAAGCACTAGCGGTAACAATGCACTTTTTAAGACTCAAGAACTCTCAAAGGTTGGCTGCCCAACCTAATTAAACTTCAATCTTCTGATAGCAAATTTATTTCTTCTTTGTACAGAATGTCCTGAGATCTACTTGACAGGAAAATGTCACTTTGCCTGACAGCTGATAGACAGGTTATGTAGCACCATAATTGGAGAGAAAAGGATAGCTTAAAGCTACTCTATTTAATGGCTGTGTGTATGGCTTTTTCTTTCTTCCTTTTTCTTTTTTTTTAAGGTTTCTATGACAGACAAAGGCTTTAGCAAATAGGCTCTGTGCCATTTTTCCCTGCTTCCTCCAGGGGTAATTATCTTACTCCATCAATAGTGCTGTCAGAAATTGGGCAAGTAATTCAGCATTTAAATGAACAAGCAATGTAATATTTCCTGTCTCCCAGTGGAATGCTTTGCAGCTCACATTCTTCTCTGTCACTCGCTCACTCTTGATGTATATCCCATAACCAGTCCTTGAATGCCTTCTCTCCCTTGTGTTTCATTGCAGATGTTGGCTCCGACTTGACACCTACTTCATTTGGAGTTTTATAGGACCAGCAACCTTGATAATTATGGTAAGAACTCCTAATTAACTGTATTTTCCAGGTCAAGAAATAAAGCTTTCACTATCCCTCTACTGACTATGTTTAATTTACATAGATTAATTTGGGTAAAGCCTATACTTATTTGACCCTACATAACTCAAACAATTAGACACTCATTATAGTCTACTTTTGTATTCCTAAAATACTTAACCAAAGCCACTGGGAGAAGAAAACATTTATTTACAAGTTTATGCACTGTTGTGGCTCCTCAGGAGCCCGAGTTTACATAATCCATTTGGTTTTTGTAGATTTTTGAATAGTGATGACTCTAAGTTTGACCAACATTACAGTTCCAAATGGGTAATTTGAAGTATGGATTGAACCAAAAATTGGAAAAGTGGCAAAATAGCTTATTGATTGTTTTAATATAAATCTTGAAATTTTTAAATTAAAAAAATTCATGTAAAAATGCCACAAGCAAGCATTCTGGAGTCATTCTTTTTGTTGTCATTTTTAAATGCATAATATCTTGATTTCAAATATGAATTATCAATCCTCATTTAGACACAATTATTAGTATCATTTGCAGACTTAATTAAAAATAAAAAGTTGTTATCCATTGTTTGAAAAAATAGCCTTGGTTTTGAATAAAGTATTCAAAAGTCATTTTCTGAAATCCTTTGTTATATTTTGAAATCCTAGATATATTCTGAAATTCAGACATTTTTTCAGACTTTATAAAGGTAATAAGGTACATATACTACATATTGCATATTATTTCTAGTGATAAATAAGCAGTCACACCAAATCAAACGTATCAACTAATACTCACAGGAGAGACTAGACAAGAGTCTGTAACCAGACACTAATAATTCAGCAGGAAAAAAAGTGAAAAGTTAAAATAAAGACATGAAGAGCCTTATGTCCATTCAAATTATGTCTCCCACCTACTGGATTTCATTCAGGTTGTTTTTTGACTACCCAATACATTTTTTTAAACTTTTACTCTCTTATGCTTTTTGAATGTGATAAATGATTGCAACCCTATATTACTTAAAGAGCTTCTGTGGGACTTAGTATTAGATTTTCTTAGTTTCCCCAAACTCAGATTCTGGAATATATAAACAATTAAGGCAATCAAGGGCTACTTGACATGGTGGTTTTCTAGAGTTTACATATATATGGTATATGGAATCTACACTAGAAGTATTTATTTTGTATTGTTTTAAATCATATACTCTCTTTGACTTCAGTAATAAAACAACCTCTTCACATGCACCTTCTACTTTAATCCTGCTCGTTTTAACATCAGAATTTAACCAGAATTTTATAACCCTTTTGATCTGTTGGTTCAAAACTAGATCGATTTTAGTATTTGTGTGTACTTGGCATAACAGTGCTTTGTACCTCATTGATATTCCAATTCCCCAAACTGGCTTCTTGCCTTTACTAAAAGACTAGGCAATCATCTATGATCCAATTTCTTTAAAAGTGTAGTGAGAGCTAATTTCCCAGAACAGCTCATCTGTTATGTTGAATAGACTTACTTTACTCCAGTTATGGTACATAACAGTACCTTTTACATTTCAGCTTAATGTAATCTTCCTTGGGATTGCTTTGTATAAAATGTTTCATCATACTGCCATTCTGAAACCTGAATCGGGCTGTCTTGATAATATCAAGTAAGTGATTTTTCCTTTTCTTTCTTTTTTTTAAGCTGCCTTACTTGGATACACTAAACTATCCTTGCTTTTAGTTGTATTGAAATCTTATAACAAAATGATAAAATCAGTGTGTTGTCTTTGCTGAATAAAATCATTTATTGACTATTAAGGTAACTGGATCTGCCTGAAAATGAGTCCACTGAAGCTCTGTTTTCAAGGAAACACCCCAACTCTGATTTATAGCATGAGAAGATTTTAATATATACATTTGTTTATTTTGTTCTGAAAGCAAATATGAAATTTCTGGACCCAGGCAGAGTATTATTTCTTAGAATCACAAGGGCATCGGTTCCAATCATTCCATGTCCCCATCAGAACAGTGTGAAGAGAGCCAGATGGTGGCATCTGTGGATACCAGAAGGGATTCTACACCGCAGAGAGGAGCCCCTAACTACTACTCTGGGCATTTATACAGGAACCGTTATACAGATGCCCATCTCTCCTCCTGAGATAGGAGGAGAAATTTCAACTCCCTGGTATAAAATCATTTGGAACATAAATGTGGGCTTTACCTTCTCTAACCTGTGAAATGTTAACCTTTTTACCTCATGGGAAGTCAATCCCTCCAGACGTCTATCAGTATCTACTCAGTCACTAAATCATCTTTTAACTTCCCAGGTTTGTCTTTTAACCCAAATTCCACTTGTCGAAGTGCAGAAAACCCTAGCCATGCAGATATATGAAAATATTCACTTTACTTTCCACCCTAGTAGTACTTCCTTTATATATACAGAAAAAAAGAAGCTAATTTACATTGTCTGAGAAGAAATACGGTTTCTTGGCATAACCAAAATATTTATCTTTAGAGTCTATGATGTTTGAGAAAGACAAATGCGTTCAGATATATTTTAGTCATTAATACATATTGTGTATTAAATTGCCTTTGTGTATAATCTGTCTGTGTGTTAATTTGGTTAAATGTTTGGGTTGAAATGAATGTACTTTCTGAAATTTCCTGAAGTCGCCTATGATTTTCACGTGCTGCTGACATTCTCCTTGAATGACTCAGAGAGCAGCTTTGTCACCCATTTTCCATCTTTCTACATTGAGTCCCTGACATAGTTCCTTGCCCACAGTAGAGCCTCAACCAAAGTCTACAGAATAAATTAATACATTAAAGACTTTAGTGAAAAAATATATCGACATTAAGTGGTTCATTTCATTGAGTCAATTATCTGCCTAAATAAATTAAGAAGGATAGCTAAGGAACTAGAAAATCGTAATATAATGGAGTAAACTAAAAATTATCTACTGCAAGTAATAGTCTTTTGTAAGTCTTATAATACTGAGTTGAGATAATAGTCATTGTGTTGTTGATTTGTGTACAATTAGACTGCCCTTCTGAAATGTAGTTAAAAAACAGCCCTCTTTGGTGTGGCTCACTGAATTGAGCACCAACCTGCAAAACAAAGGGTCACCAGTTTGGTTCCCAGTCAAGGCACATGCCTGGGTTGCAGGCCAGGTCCCCTGTTGGGGGCGTGCTAGAGACAACCACACATTGATGTTTCTGTCCCTCCCTTTCTCCCTCCCTTCCCTTCTGTCTAAAAATAAATATATAATTAAAAAATAAAACATAGTTAAAAAACAAAAATATATAGCTTTAGTTCCTTGGACTATATGATCCTGGTAAAATTGTGTTTGGGTAAATTAAATGACATATTTTCTTTATCACAATGTACATTTACTCACCTTAGTATAATTACAACACCTTCATATCTTATTCTTTAGTATAAAACAATATAAAAGTAATGATTGTCATTTGTCATGTTTTTAAAGTACAACCAAAAATAAGCAAATAAAACATTGATATTTATGTACTAGCTTTTAACATGTTCAGAATCAGAAAAAGGTCATGTACTTAGTGCAATGGTGTATTTTAAAAGATAGATTTGTTCTTTCATTATTCATATGTATTTCTTTAGGTAGTATGAAACAACTCTTTATGATATTACTATTTAGAAAAACAAATATACAAAAGGAAATCATTACCTCGTGGCATTGATGGCATCAAGCTATATCTTTCAAATCAAAGCCTTAAATAAGAAAATCTTGATTAAAATTCTGTCTAAACTGCTCCACACTATAGAAACTTTGGAAAGTTCATTAACCTTACTGAGCCTCCCTGTCCTATTTAAAATGGCATAATTATGAAACGTACCCAAGCATCAAATGAGCAGAGGAAATCAAACAGCTTGTGATGATGCTTTTTAAAAAGTCAATAAGACAAACAGAATAATTGGGTAGTTTATTAGAAAAGGTATAGAAAGTAGTTTTAAGATGTAGGAAACAGGAAGATGGATATTCAAATAGGAAAAAACAAGGAATAGATTGGGCAGAAAGTGAAGAAAATGAATCATTGTTACCTTTGTGACCTGAGGAAGTGTAGGAAATGAGAGCCAGAACTGTGTTAAAGCAACTGTACTACATTAGATTTCATGCAGGACCTTTTTCCAGAGTTACCAGAAGCCAGGAAGGAGGATCATTTTCCACTGAGACTGGATGAAATAAATAAGTGTGATGTAGACATGTTCGAACCAGTATAATGCAGTCAATTGAGGGATTTCTGTCTATTCCTCTCTATGAAGTAGGGAAGATGGTCATCTACAGAATATATGGGACTATTGAAAAGAGAAAGAATAAGGAAGAAAATATATCTTAGAACTTTTCAGAATCTGAAGGACATTTCATTTTATTTTAAATATGTTAACTATTTAAGAAGTGCCTGTAAAGAAATCAATAGGGCATAATTAATCAGGAAAGAAGAATTTAAGAAAACTAATAATTATTTTGAACATTAAGTAAATCACAAAATTTGACATTTAAAATTTTTGAACAAAAATAAATAGTTGTATTTTTAAATGACATATGTGATGTGAGAATATTTTATAAAGGTATAAACATCATTTCTCTGGAAAGTCTTTTTTTTTTCTAGTACATGAGATAGAACATAGAAGTTAGTTATGTTTGCTTGCTTTGGTTTTCTGTAATTTTATAAAGTGAGGAATAAACAGACCATTTTGTTCAGTTTATTAAAAGAAAAGTATACCATATAAGACTTTCTAGAAGTTATTGTCTTTCAACAATTCCTTCATTTTTCAAAATCTGTATTGCTTTCACTATACATGTTCTTTCACACCAAAAATGCCCTCTACTGGAAACGTGTTTGCTTCTCCCAAATTCACTGCCACCAGTTCCTTTTAGGCCACCATCAACTCCTTACAGAGCCATGGCCGTGGTCTCCTCACTGCCTTCCCCATTTTGATTCTTGCCCCTGTCTTGATCATCAAGAGTGATCTTTTCAAAAGTTTAAATCTGACCATGCAACTCTCTTTGGTAAAACTCTTTAGTGGCTTCCTGTTACTCTTACGTGAAAGTCCAGCTCCCCCACAGTGGCCTAATAAGTGCTCCTGATCTGACTGTCCTGTTCTTTCATCAGCCTCTCTTTAATCCATGTGTCTCTCTGGCGGTTCTAGATGTGTTTCTTAGGCTTTGTGTTCTATCCCTGCTGTGTTTCCACTAATGTTCTCTTCCTTGATCCTATACTTTGCTGACTCCAATTGACCACAATTTAATTATCATTTAAAAAAATAATTGAATTACATTTTAATTCCAAATTTACTTCACTCATTATAAACACGTTTGATTTCAAGTATACATTTGGCTTGCTGGTTACTGTATTAATGCTATACTCTGGAAAAATAAACAAATAAAGTGAATTATGTAGTATGATTAAAGAAGAAATGAGGTATGACAGTTTTTAAATTTTACTGAAAATAATTAAATTTAAACAATATCTTTTACTTGCTGTTGGTTTACTTGTACTTTGTCTCTTTTTCATTAAAATAAGTAATTATATTTTGAAGGATAAAATAATTCCAATCATTTAAACTTTTTGGTTGAATTTTTGATAATTTGAAATAGGAACCTACAGTAATCATCACAAAACTGTAATCTAATTTTGCAAATATGTATGTAAAGGTGAATAAAACAATGACTGACTTGTTACCATCACAAAATTAACTTATGGTGTCCCTGAAGTGTTATGATATATAGAGCTTTAATTCTTGAGAAGCATTTAGGACAATCTTGACATTTATCTTTAAAACATAAATGACATTTCTGTACTTGTCAACTACATCTACTTTTGGAAAATGTATTTAATCATATCATAAGTACTTTGAAAACTAAAAAGTAATAATAAAAGCTTTTAAGACTAAGAAAGAAAATTGGTACCTGTATGGAGGGACGAGGAATGTACTCAATTTTTATCTCCTGTGTCACTCTACTGCATCTTTCCCTTTCCCGTGGACTGACTTCTGTGTCCAGACTTCTGATTTTGTCCTCGTCATTTTTTGATCTGACCCCTCCCTGTCACTTAAGTTTTACCTGAGTGTTGGGTCGGCAAAGACATTGTCAGATGGTTTGAACAAACACCTTTCACTTTCTTTCTTCCCTGGGTTCTAGCAGCTAAAGGAAGACACTAGAGAGGAGGAATAACTATAGTGTCAGACAAATTTGGGTTTCAATTTCTGTTCAGTCCTATAAGGATTATAACAATTTCTGTTCCATTATGGCTGTTTGTCTCAGTGTCTCCTCTGCATCAGGAATAATTTTATCTACATGCTCCTAGTAGAGTGGTAATTAGATACAATCATACATGTAAAGGATACAGCACATAATTGAATGCCCATATAGAATAGTTTCATTATTTTTAATACTCTATGTGGAAATATATTGCTGCAATTGGTCCATAGTGCTTTTTATCATGAAATTTGCTCAACCTCTTATTAAAACCTCATTAAAAATTTATTGGCTCTGTTTACCATATGGTATAATTAAGAATTTGTATGACATGATTCCGTTTTTATTAAAGTCAGACTTAAACTATCATGAAGAATTGGCTTCAGGAGTGAAATGCTCATTTGACTAACAAATAGCAAGTTCTGTAGTTAGTTCTG